TATCTGCAGTTGACTGCCTCCGCTTGTCACTGGATGGGCTCACCCTACAAATTAGCGTGTCTCACACAAAGAGCAGAATTTGGACCCAGACTTTGACAGGAAACCAAAGCGGAAAAATGGAGTCTTTATGTAGAAAAATGCAAAGTAAAACCAGAGAGCACGGTGGCATGAAGAAGGCATTGAGGAAAGCTTGGCGTTCTAGCCACGTGTCACTGAACGACTCAGGCTTAAAAACGAAGAAATATGAAGCCATGCCCAACTCTATATGACAAAATAAAGATCACAACATAAAGGACCCTAACCAAAACACAACCAGTCACAAGACTATGAAAGTTTTGATCTCTCCACTTCTCATAGAATTGAACATTAATAAATAATAAGATATGAGCAATTACACAGATATCTCACCATATTATCACCAGCCAATGTATTTCTTGCCAATTGAAGAAACAGTTCAAAAATAATGATCATGTGAAATACAACTGACTATATCCACGCTAAAAACAGTTCAATTCATCCATCCATCCATCCATCCGCTTATCCTCACAAGGGTCACTGGCGTGCTGTAGCCTATCCCAGCTGTCTTCGGGCAGTAGGCGGGGGACACCCTGAACCGGTTACCAGCCAGTCGCAGGACACACATAGACGAACAACCATTTACGCTCACAATCACAGTGGTTGTCGGCCTCACAGTGCAGAAGTGCAGGGTTCGATTCCGGCTGCGGCCCTCCTGTGTGAAGTTTGCATGTCCTTCCTGTGCCTGCGTGGGTTTTCTCCGGGTACTCCGGTTTCCTCCCACATTCCCAAAATATGCATGGCAGGTTAACGGAGCACTCTAAATTGTCCTTGGGTGTGATTGTGAGAGCCTTGTGACGATAAGCGAATCAGAAAATGATGGATGGATGGATGGATGGATGGAGGAAGTGGCTTGCAAATACGTATTTCTTCCAGCTTTGTCAGTGTCCTGTGAATGAGTTATCGGGAAAAAAAAAAAGCAGTGAGCATGAAGAGGACCTTCTATTGTAGAGAACTAGTTCATAATTTTTGAATAAAAAACATATGACTGAGTCCCTGCCCTGTGTGTTTTTGTTGTTTCTGTTGAAAAGTCCTGTGAAGACGTACACGTCCAACATGGTTACTTGATGGGAAAAAGAAAAAAAAATTAGGGCAACTTTGTCGATTTAAATGAACAGTATTTTTTTTTTTTATTACATTGATCAGTATCATATTTATTTTACGATTATCGCTGAAAGATTAGTGTGAGTGAATTTGGGACATGGGTTGTTTTGACTTTTTTTGTCCATTTGATGTCCTTAGTGTTGCTTTCACTGTAGCACAATTTGATCAGTGAATCCATTTTAGCACAATTTGAAGGAAAGCCTCAACACCTCATACTTTACTTGCCCATCTCCAACTGTGTGATGGTGACCCGAAGTAAAAGGTCCACCTCGTCATCCATCCAAACAAAACCTTCCTTCCACCATGATTTTGAAATATGGCCATTGTCTACTCTTCTTTGCTGATGGTTCTTCTTCTTTCGACTAACGAATTCGGCTCTGTTTCCTTGTGGACATGGCCTTAAAGGAACATTATCATCCAATTACAGTACATATACTGTATCTAGCCGACCAATCAAAATGCCAGGATCGAGCAACACCTCGTGTGCTCTGCTCATCAAGAAGGTGTGGCACAGGTTTATGCAGCCATCGGGCTTTAGTGGTGGAAGAATCAGTGCCACGGTGTCCCAGCCACAGTGGGAAGTAAAGACTGACACACACACACACACACACACACACACACACACACACACACACACACACACACACAGGAGGAGTATGTGAGACGATGCAGGCTGCTGACTCATCAGGCCTGGCGGGCCTATTCTGTGTGTAGTATCAGTGTGTATTTGCAGCTTCACTACAGAAGACAGGATGTAAAACCATCATCGCTGCATGCTGAAAGCTACGTGGTCGATTTGTAGGCTTGACGAAAAAGTGACCTTGAACATATTTTGTTTGCAACAACCACGATCTTGCATGCGGCCTATAAAATGGCTTTGCTCCAGTTTACCTGTGAAACTGAGCAGGATGATCGGAACAAATTGGATGACTGGACAAACATTTGCACTGATAATTGATGGGTTAACTTATTTATAACACTTTGTATTCATACATCTGGGAGAAATGGTTTCCTAAGTATCAAGGAGGGACAAGACGATTTGGCCCGAACACTGTCCACAGTTTCATGTACGGTCCGTATTGGGTGTGTTCTAATCAACACTATATCATGATACATCACGGTGAATAATTGGATACTTTCCACTCACCTGTTTGCAGTACAGTATGTGGCAATCCTGACTAGGAACAGCTTATATGAGTTTACAGTTGGTGCACACAATGAATTATTCAAGTCTCAAGAGGTAATTGTAGTAACTGCTTAAATTTTATTGAAAATGTGTTGCATAATTATAACAATACGTACCATAGCTGCACATGTAGCAATTCATTAAATAAGCATTTTCTATACACATGAAAAATAATATGGACAAAGTTGAGATTTGCATGTTGGCTTGGTCCTCGACAAGCATTCCAATTTCCCATGTGGCCCCTTTGCTAAATGAATTGCCCACGCCTACACTAACCCCGAATGTACCACTAATGGTACCCCTACCACACTTTGAGAATCCCTCCACCCATCCATTTTCTAATCGTTTACCCTCACAAGGGTCAAGGGCGTACGAGAGCCTATCCCAGCTGTCTTCGGGCAGTAGGCGGGGTACACCCTGAACCGGTTGCCAGCCAATCGCAGGGCACACAGAGACGAACAACCATCCGCACCCACACTCACACCTAGTGACAATTTGGAGTGTACAATCAGCCTGTCATGCACGTTTTTGGAATGTGGGAGGAAACTGGAGTACCCGGAGAAAACCCATGCAGGCACGGGGAGAACATGCAAACTCCACACAGGAAGGCCGGAGGCGGAATTGAACCCTGCACCTCTGCACTGTGAGGGTGACTTTCTAACCATTTGACCACCATGCCGCCGACTTTGAGAATCATCAATTTGAAATAGAACATTGCTAGCCCTCATGTGGAGTTTCTGCACTTCAAAAAAAAAACGAAAAACAAAGATTGCAGTCGTGGTACTGAATACAGTACATCAAAAGATTTTCTTGACAAAATGTTTCAGATTTTCAAATGAGTGACTTTCATGTTAGTGCAGCTTCATACAGCAAGTGTGATAGATGTCTATTTCACCCCTAAATATTTAGTGAAAATGCTCAATTTAATAATGGAGCGTGTGGTAAGGCACATTTTGATGCTTTCTGCAGTGGAGTCTCCCACTGTCCCTCTGCAGATGGTCATGATATGTTTCATAAATGAACAGAGCAACAGCCTGATTAAATCCCATCAGGCAGTGGTTGTGCAGCGCTCATCCAAATACATCAGAATTTTGCAAATAATGCAGCACTCTGGCTTGAGTTGTTAACATAGATTGCGTCAAATTGCGAATTCTCTTAAATGTACTGGCGCGTGTGAAGAAAACATCAGGTAATTCTTCATTGATCCCCGCAGAGGAAAATCAAGTGTTACAGCAATTCAAGGGAAAAACAGCACGCAGCAAATTAATAATTAAAAACAAATACCAAAAAAGTTGTAAAAAATAGCACCTCCCAATGAATTCAATCCATGCCGCCTGTGCTCATCAGGATCGTGGGTAACTGAGAGTCAGTCCCATATAACTTTGTGTGAGAGGTGGTATGAACACTTGACAGGTCACCAGTTAATCACAGGACAAATGATCAATGGCACTCACATTGACACCATTTAGCATTTTAACCTAAGAAGACTGTTTTGGGGATGGAGGAAGAAACCAGACTACTCAGAGAAAACTCGATCACAAGAGGAGAGGCGAAGACAAGTAAACACTTCACAAAGATCTTTCAAGGGAGAGTCAACCTCAGGATCTCATAACTGAGTTATTTCGGAAATGTTGGCAGGGAAGGAAAGGTCATCAAGCACATGTGTATTGGTGCATACAAGATTGAGTATCCCATTTAAGCAGCCGTTAACTTGATTCTGGCACTTTCCTGTTTGTCATGTCTATGCATCTTCTATCTTCTCATCAAAATCACTCACTGCATTTGTTCCTTGCTGTCTGGATTTGAATAAAAGCTTTTCAGCTGCTCTATTTGTCTTCAAAACTCCTCTCTTCTCTTCTTCCCAGATCTGATCCAGGCCTCCCAGGACACCAGTGTGAACGTCCCTCAGATGGCCGACACACTGATAGAGAGGGCGGGCAATGCCAGTTGGGTGGTGGTTTTCAAGGCCCTGATTACTACACACCACCTCATGGTGCACGGCAATGAGGTGACAATGCACACATGCACTGTCCAGGCTCAGAAAAAAACGGCCTCATTGAGTAAGATCCTAAATAGGAGAGGCTAAATTGCTTGGCCATGCATTCTAACAGATTTTATGCACTGTTGGCAGCAGATGTTATAAAAAATAAATAAATAAAGAAAGAAAAAAACTCTTTTCTCCACCGCTGCTTTTTTAAAAGAGATTTTTCTACTTTCTGTTGCTTTTACCATGAAGCATTTGGGTGAAAGCCACAGGTGCAAAATGAAAACAAACAAATAAATGGATCGATCAAATAATTTGGGGGGAAAGCAGAAACTGCATAAAAGCCATCTTTTAGGTAACTCAGCCCAAGTAAACAACCTATGCTTATTGCATTTAAAACTTGGGCAAAACACCCAGAAAATTGCTCTGGGAGACGTGAGAAGCAAATGTTACTGTGCCCTGAAATGACCCAGACATTGGCAATTGGAGAGTTAAAGGAGATTTGTCATGCGATATTGCATGACGCCTTTCTTAGATCATTCAGACGCTCCAAAATTGGAGGCAATATGTCACCATATTGTTTCTGGCATTTCAAAAATGTTTAAACAAGAACAGAAGATCTGCCCAGCCCATCGCCTTTCATTTTGCCTGAACCTCAGCATCATGCACACGGCAATGCTGTTTGCACCAGCCTTTCAGACCGCCAGACTGAAAGATGCTAAATCAGTCTCCAACACATAAACACATCACTCTATTTGACATATATGCGCAAAATTAGCTGTGTGGCAGTTTTGTACATTAGGGGACCATTTTTGGTCTTTAAAAAAAATGTTTGCTGTGTGCTATTCTGGCGCTATTTTACATGCTGGTTTGCCCTTGCCTTTCAAATGTGTACTTCAAGATGCAAAATCAGCAAGTGTAATCCTGTACATATCATCAGATTCCTCCAACAATGAGTGCAATCTGGTTGAGCCTGATTAGTTAATCTGCTTCTACATTTGTTTGTATGTGCAATCAAGTTTGCACCAGTTTTTGCATGCGCAAACCTATTGTGTATTATGCCCATAATGTTATTAATGTGATTGTGTATCATCCAGTGTGACAAAAGAAGCTAAAGTTTGCTACAATTGGGTTCATCATAACTGTGGGAAAAAAAGTGTTGTTTTTTTTTTTCTTTGAAAAATCTTTGCGTCCACTAATTCTGGAGAAAGAGGAGAAATACTGTTTGTTCCCCACCCCCCAACAATTTAAAACAAGTGTCTTAAATCAAGATTTGTGTTTTTGTCGAAATACCCCGAGGATCAAAAATTCCAGGGCACTTGACATCCAGAAACTAGACTGTTTCATGCAAATGAACCAGCCCTCACCCAATCAATTGACCGCTGGGCGAAGGACGAGTACGAATTTCATTACAGTGATGACTAGCGACAGTATTTGTTGTGCAATTCACATTGCATTGTCAAAAAGATCAAACCATTTTCAACACTTGATACCGGTCAATACATAGTCAATAGTATCGACTTGTGAAAAAATTGTACATAAAGTAAAAATCAAACACATTTGAAAATACTGTAATTATTTGATAATATAAAAACAGTAATTGTGGTTTGAGTTTGCAGTATACTTACTGTTATGCATGCTTACATGTGGGAAAGGAGAGCCACAGTCGCTGATGATCTTTTTAGGCAGGAGAAACAATAAAAGTAGGGATGTCCTGATCCGATCACAGTGATCATAAATCGGGGCCGATCAGGTGATTTTCACCTCATCTGGGCAGTAAGATCAGTTTCCGTCATTTACTGAATTTTTAAAATGACCAAATACTCCAAAGCTGTCATGAGCTTCTCAATTCAATAAGTTTACGTATGTTTTGAAAGCATGTATGAGGAGTAAATTTTGTAAAAAAATAAAATAAAATAAAAATATCCATCCATATTGCGGATTTGCCCCTGTTGGGATGGTCTGTTCATTGCCTGTAAAAAAAAATAAAATAAAAATATCCATCCATATCGCGGATTTGCCCCTGTTGGGATGGTCTGTTCATTGCAAAGTTAATTCAGCATAAGATGTGTTAGATGTCTCTGCATTGAAGTTAACCACACGTCCTTGTACTTGTACTGTGCTGATGATGCGGGTGTGCTTTTTCAGAAATTTCTGCAGTTCCTTTCGTCGAGGAATTCTTTGTTCAATCTCGCCAACTTTCTGGACAAAACAGGCTCCCATGGTAGGTGTTTCTCAGCTTCCTGTTCATTGATCCTCCAATTGCATTTTGAATTCAGTTTTCTATATGAACTTGAATTGACCCCACGCTGGATAAATTCATACTTACGCTAACATATTGTCACAATTGAATCTCTCTTATGAAGTGTAGCACACTTTTATGTCTAGCAGTATGTCAAGTAGAGAACACAAGCCTCCTATTTACAAAATGTTTTATTGTATTTTATTTTATTTCATTTTTTCTGCTGTTTTAAGTTACAGTACTGACACCCCCCCCCGCCCCAGTATTATTGGGCATACATCAATGTGTGTGTGTGTGTGTGTGTGTGTGTGTGTGTGTGTGCGTGTGTGTGTGTGTGTGTGTGTGTCTTCCTCAGGCTATGACATGTCCACCTTTATCAGACGCTACAGCCGTTATCTCAACGAGAAGTCCTTCGCCTACAGACAGATGTCTTTCGATTTTGTCCGAGTCAAGAAAGGGTAGAGTTTCTCATTTCTGTCATTTTCTTACTTCATAAATTATTGAAGAAAGTTAGTGAGTCTTAGACTTTGAAGGCGACTTTTTTTTAATGATGAGTAGCAGTGACACCCAACTCCCTATACCGTGCTGCTCTTCGGCCTCAACATTGTTTAATACTGTTCAACCTCACAGAAGGAATTGGTTGGGAGTTTAGATACATTGGTCAATACTCTGACTTGGTCAATGCATTGGGACAACCTACACTGAACTCTCTTGACGCCCAGCGTCCGCACGGTCGACGCTCAGGCTCAGCGTCCACACAGTTTAAAGCACGATGAAGCTACGGGAATGAATGAGAAGAGAGTCGTGTCGTAACCAGTAATAAGAAGCTGATTTGGAACAAAAGTTGAGCGTGTTGTAGCGCATATTTAGTCAATGACATGTCCACACAATTGTACGTACACACATATATTTGATCACTTACTTTTTGGCATTACATTTTAGGGGAAGCTGAGCTTCCCTTGCAGTCTTAGAGCAATCGCCTCTGGTAGAGGCATATTGTGATCAATGCTTCAAAGGACCTTTAATGAGAATATTATTCTATGAGAATTGTTTTTAACTCAGCGATGGTGTGGTGTATGGTTGGGGCTCTGTGTTGACCAAATTATTATCATTCCCACAAATTGCTTTGACTAATTTGCCGATGATATGGCGGCTGAGCACCCCCCAAGTTCAGATCCTCGTTTTTTAGAAAGTTCCACATTATTGTAACGTAGAATCGATTATTTTCCTTTTCCCCTCACAGAGCTGAAGGAGCAATGAGGACCATGACAGTTGAGAAGCTGCTGAAAGGAATGCCTATCCTGCAGGGTCAGATTGATGCATTGCTCGATTTCGATGTAAGTCACGTGTACTTGAAGGAAAGGGAACACTTAGCAAACTGCCAGGCATCAGCGCCTTATTTGTATTGATCTTCTTCACCCGTCACATCATATAATGCATAAAATTTCATCAATGGTAACTCTGTCCAAAGGTCCACCAACCAGAATTAAACAACGGGGTGATAAACGCCTGCTTTCTTCTCCTGTTCAAAGACCTGATCAAGTTATATGCTTGCTACAATGACGGCATCATCAATCTACTAGGTACAGTATTTCTGTTCACCTTTATTTTCTTTGTCAGCAAATGTCGATTAACTATCCCATTATGTATCACATACGGGTGAGGACCAGTGATTGAGTACCCGTAGAGAATTTCCTCCTTGTTTCTGGTTAATCCTTGGCCAGGATCTCCAACCTACAGCAGAAGCCAGAATCTATCCTGACAGAAGGTTTACCATTTTTGTGTTTTAGAAACACAAGTTCATTGTTGACAAATAAGAGAAAACCACCACCAAATATTTACAGTCCATGTATAGTATTGTGGCAGCCCGGTGGGCTAGTGGTTAGCGCTTAGACCTCACAGTGCAGAGGTACCGGGTTCAATTCCAGCTCCGTCCTCCCTGTGTGGAGTTTGCCTGTTGTCCCTGTGCCTGCGTGGGTTTTCTCCGGGTACTCCAGTTTCCTCCCACATTCCAAAAACATGCATGGCAGGCTGATTGAACACTCCAAAATGTCCCCAGGTGTGAGTGTGAGTGTGGATGGTTGTTCGTCTCTGTGTGCCCTGCGATTGGCTGGCAACCGGTTCAGGGTGTCCCTCGCCTACGGCCCGAAGACATCTACGATAGGCTCCAGCTATCCCCCACAACCCTTGTGAGGATAAGCGGATCAGAAAATGGATGGATGGATGTATAGTATTCTCATGTTACCACAACTGTGTCTTTTAGAGAAATTTTTCCAGATGAAGAGAAGCCAGTGTAAAGATGGACTCGAGATCTACAAAAGATTTTTGACTCGCATGACTCGGGTATCTGAATTCTTCAAAATTGCAGAGGTAACATTCAGATGTGCACATTACACTGACTTGCTGAGCAGTCATTTCTGACGTACATGCCGTCTGGTAAATGTTGTGTTTTGTGTTTTTTCCAGCAAGTGGGAATAGACAAAAATGACATACCCGAACTCACTCAAGTAAGTTTGTGACAGTTTGTCTCCCTGTATGTTTTTCAAAGATGCACACCAACGCAGTGTGCACAATTGCTTGAACCCTTTCAGGGACAGAGGTTCCTACAGTGGACGGCTTCTCATCTTATCAGGTTACAGGGTGCATGAAACGGTTAAAAACGAGTCACACTTTCTTTGGCTGTAGATCTAAAGTGGACTTTTCAAAAGATGAATTCGGTGTTGAAAGGGTTCTTTGGATGACGGCGTGCATTATATTCTTCGAGCCATTTTCTCTTCTTACATTATGTTCTCACTCAAGGAAACATAACGTGCAAACAGTAGACGCTTAAACTATACGGGATCACTTGCAGTCGTATGTGGCTTTGGTGAGTGTTATCATGGAGATGACAGGCAGTTCTCTCTCAGTTTCATGGCTCCTGCATGCATCGCTACGAGATTCTGTGTTTCCCCTCAAAGTACACATTATATTATTAGTGGTACTCCTATGAAGTTTCCTTTTTCTGTCATTTTCGTGTTAAAGATAATGAAATTGTCTGGGAATTGGAACATGGATAGGATTTTATTTCCTTATCCTATCCTCCATATGCATCCTGACCGTTTTGGAACATTCCGGCAGGTTTTTCAGTGTGATGGAGGAAACTGGGCTGAATGTAGCTGTTGGTGGGGGGGCACTTCACAAGACAGGAATTGAAATTAATTCATTTATTTTTGGACGACCGTGAAAAATGAGGAATGCCCAACTGTTACATACGGGATAACATGCAGAAAAAGAAAAGATGATGAAGACCAACTCAAGCCAAATTGCTACCGACTAATCACCAAGCGGAGACCAATGAATTGCACGCACAGTTTGACAAGGAGCTGATTTGGATGACACAAGAACAAAGTTGGGTTGCGCCAACTGAAAATAAACAGGACAGGAAAATCTAATCATACTTATGAAGAATCAAAACAGATTGGAGGGTGTAATATCCTATTCACACAAAACATACCTCTAAAATCATGTGATGATCAAAAAGCAGTTCAAAATCCGAAATGAAATACACAGCACAATGTGAGGAATAACAGCACTGACAAGCCCAATATGGCATTGAAACCTGATTTTCCTTTCTGCCGCTTCATGAAAATCTGGTTCACATACATGTTTTTCAAGCAATTAACTAATGCTTAACAATGTACAATGATGTGCAGCACATACACCGTACACACTATACACAAATAACATAATTTCCAAATAACGTAACTCGAGCTGAATTGTTGTATTCTGTCTCTCTGCCACTTTGTTTTACCCCCGCAGGCTCCAGAAAGTCTTTTAGAATCCCTTGAGACCCACCTCAACACATTGGAAGGGAAGAAGCCGTAAGTTTGTGCGTTTCTTGGATATTATGGGAAAATAAATAAATAAAATAAGACAATGAGTAATAACACAATAGTGATCAATTGTAGTTGACTTGAAGCTGGTTTGCACATCAACACAATGACAGGTTGAATCCATGATAAAATAATTTTGATGGGGGCTTTAATTAAACTTTCTATTTAACTACTTGGATCATTTTTGATGGGCAAATATTTAACCTCATGTTCTTGTGATCTTTGCCCAATCCAATACAGGGAGGATAAGTAAGTATTGTCTGTTACCAGAAGTACTAAATTCATACCATTACCTATTTTTTTTTTTTTAATTTCCCACCCCTCAGTGTTGCTTGACTTTATAGTATAAAAGTTATCATATCCATCTGAAGAAGTCATACCATTGATCTAACAATACTTTACTAATGTTCAAAATGTGCTTCAATAGGACACATTTTTAAAAAAATGAAATCCATATTTTGTGATTGTTTTTAGTTATACACTCATACAAAGCTGCTGGTAAACTTTTACAATCCAATGACATCCAAGGTGATGTTGGCAAAAGGTTTTTATTTCTTCTGTAATAATTGTGAACACTATTAGTATTCTTGTAAAGGTTAAAATATTACATAGCAGCTGCATTGGATTGTGCTGTGTAGCAAATGGCATGTCAGTGAGCGTATAATCATCATTAAATCGGTGTCACTCACTCCCAGTCTCCACTTTTGCAAAGGAAAACAGGCTGGCTGGACAACTGTCACGTTGTCCAAGTTGCCTGTGTAAGAAAATCCTGAGTTGAAGTGGAAATGGGTCCAAAATGCAATGAGATAGCATTGCAATGTGATGACATCAATTACAGACGATTCCGAAATGAATTGTGTTTGAAATTCTGCCTGTCTAATAACACGGAAAATAACTTTAGCAAGATGTCACTCTGCCTTTTTTCTAACTTGCATGCTATTATTGTTTTGACAGGTCACCCACCAAGGTAAGACATTCTTAATATCATTAATTGCTGCGCTTTTAATGTTCAACATGGGGTTCCTTTGCACTTGAAATATTAAGATATTCAATATTTTCAAAAATGTCGTGAGGATGAAGTATATGACAACGTTTTGTTACATTATAAGGCTGTATTTAATATGCAAGTTTAATTCTGTTTCTTGTATTACATTTATAATTGTTAGCATTCTTTTTCGTCTCTGTGGACAAATCACCTGTTCTACTGCGCAGGGACAATTTTTACAACCCACATGTTTCCAAAGTGTGCTTCCTTGCCTTAAATCCACTAAACGAGACCCCGGTATGGATACACAGTGAGAAAGAATGAATTTAGAAATACAGTCAAAGTCATCATCTTCATTCATTGCGAATTACCAGAACATGTTGACAAGCATCCAAAAATGCCACCTAACGTAACCATGTTGTTTACGTTGTTGTCTGTAAACAGGACACAGTGGCAACGAACAGCTCAGCCCCATCGACTGCACCACCCAAACCTGCACCACCCGCCGGCGCCGGGGGGCCCCCTGCTCGCCCCGGGCCGCCCGTCAAACCTCCACCACCCTCTGTCACACCCACAGCTGTAGTTCCCACTACTACCACCACCAGCAGGTAAGTGCCATTACATTTATTTCAGGTTGAATTTATTCTGCGACAGATTGGATGTGAACTCGTTCTTTCTGTGGTGCAATTTTTACACCACAAAATGTCCAGTGAAAGAGAATGGAATTTTATGCTTTTATTACATTCTATTTGTTTCTTTGTTTTTAACATATTCACAAGATCGACCTATCGAGATGCTTGCTGCTCTTATTTTCTTTCTTTCTGGGTCTAGTGCCCTGGATGATGGCTTCCTGTTGGACCTAGATCCAATGTCCTCGTCCTCAGCTGGTGGGACGGCAGCACCTTCTACTACAATTGGATGGGGAGGTGAGTAAATACTATCAGAAAATTCCTGAGCTCTATTTAAAAATTATAAATAGTGTCCCCACCCTACCCCCCAGGCTATATCACCATTAAAAAAAAAAAAAAAAGAAATGGCAGGAAGAAATTGAAAAAAAAAAAGCAAAAGCAAAATGTGGTCTCGCGGCCACATTTGGAGTTGCGGAGCAACGTGGGTCAGCGGAAATATTCAGAGGCGCACTGGAGAGAAAGTTCTTGCAC